TGTTCATTCAGGAGATTAAAGTAGCTAGCTAACTAACTAAATAACCATTGGGAGAGTATCAAACATGGCAGTGTCCATAAAACATAAATGAATAAATGGGTTTCGATGGGTGAGTTCATTCATTAGATATTTTAAATAACCAACAACAGCGTTAAATGCTTTGTAACCGGTTGCAGAAATCATGTTTGAGCCGCACGCCCCAAAAAAATGGGACTGACAACCGTATTATGTAAAAAATCTTTGGCTGCTGTATCGTAGTTTTGAGAGGCCCGAGATGTTCTCTGTTCTTGTCAGATGCTCCTTCATAGAAGCTGTGGTTTGCCTTTTCAGTTTTACAGAGTGTGCACGGCACCATTTTAATTGATCTCCGTTTAAAAAAAATTCCTACACTTTTTATATCAGGCTCGTTATATTTGTAATAACTTCTGATTTTCAGCATGCCCAGAGTCGGAGCCGCCATCATTGGGGATGAGCATAAACAGTGCGACGAATCGAGGCATTGCACTCAAATCGGCTAATTTACGGAAACACTGACGTGTCGTCCCAGCCCTAGTTTAAAATATTATTAATTAATTTCCCTAATAATTCAATCCATTACCCTTCTGAAATGCCCGGTTTTGAAAGCCCCTCAAATGGTGTGTTTTCCACAGAAAAACTTTATTATTATTATTATTATTTTAATATTGGGCGTTTTTGGGGCAAAAATACTTTATAAACTAACCTCGAGAAAATATAAAATGACGTGTCATGTTTCATGACCCCTTTAAATCATGTTTATTTGATCAATTTTTTTTAATATATCGCATACACCCATATAGTAATGCCTTTTTTGTTGTTTAATGCAGTGAACTCGTTTCAAATAAAGGTATTTCAGCTCATTTTGATTCTTTTTTAAAGATTATTTATAACAAGTAAATAAGTCTGGCATCAGTGCAAAAACATCTGCTTCACCAGATGTTCCACATCATGACTCAAAAATAAATAAATACATATCAATCAACAAAGCTGTCTTGCACTGTATAGTATAATATAGAGTATAGTCTGCTTGTGATATTGTACCCTTTTACAAAGTCTTGATTTTGTTTTTGGGGTCTACTAGAACAGAAACATGAAGAACAATGTTCAAAACACATTATTCTCCTCATATTCTCCATTGTTGCGGCTCCTCTCTTCCCAGTCTGTCAGTAACGCTCTGTTTACTTCCTGTCTCTATGAAGCCCCTCCTTCTGAAAGCACACTGTGCTCTGATTGGTCGGCTGGATCAGTGTGTTGTGATTGGTCGAGCGTTTCGAGTGTGTTTGGGAAATGTCCCGCCCCCTTTCCATAACCGCCAGTTTAACACACTACTAACTAACTCAACCAGGCCCCGCCCCTTTATTCTGCGTATGAATTATCGTGTTCGTTCCCGGAAGAAACTCAAGACTACAGTAGAGGCGTTTCAGGGAGTTCAGAAACACTGACACTGATATAGAGAATTTTTTTTTGACATTTAAAAATAGCATACCTTCATGCCACCCAGTCAAACTCTCTGCTTTTATTTATACAGCTCATAAAACATTTTGGGATTTTTCATTTTTGTGTGAAGCGTCCATCTTTGAGCTGTGCTTATAGAGGGGTGGTTTAGTGTGGTGTTCAGGTTGGACTGAAGGACGTGTTGTGAAAGACAGATGAATGGGGGAGCAGAAGGGTTTGCTGTGGGTGAGCCTTTAGAAGAGATAAAGAAGAGATCATTCAGACAATCAGCCCGTGCCTCGATGCAATCATCCCATCTCATCTGCTTTCAAGAGCTATTGGGCTTTTTATTGAGCTGTTGTCCTGCAGACAGAGGCAGTCTGATAGCACTTTAACCCTCTGATAGGGTTAATATTAAACCCTAGCCTTTACTACGCTGGCGGCACTTAGTCTTACAAGACACGAGCTGAAATAGTTTGTAGACGAATGTGCCGAAATAGCTTTAGATGCTGAGCTGCTCTCATCAGCAACACGAGACCAAACACTCCTGCAAGCTAAGGATCCTGAGGGTCGACTCTTAGTTTCATTTTGTCTAGTCATTTTTTGTCAGACTGGATGACAAACTTGTTCAAACTTTTTGATGCCAAAAAGTCTTTGTGTGTGTGTGTGTGTGTGTGTGTATATACACAGGTGAAACTTGGAAAATTAGAATATCGTGCTACAGTTCATGTATTTCAGTAATTCAAATTAAAAGGTGAAACTAATATATTTAGTATATATAGCTATATACATATGCATGATCATACTTTTCAGAGGGACGACATTTCATTATTTAAAATCTTTTTTTTTTTTATTGATTTCATGTAATAATCTAATTTTCTGAGATTTAGAATTTGGGGTTTTCATAAGCTGTAGGCCATAATCATCAAAATTATAACTTTTGCACAATATTCAAATTTTTCAAGTTTCACCTGTGTGTGTGTGTGTATATATATATATATATATATATATATACACTCACCGGCCACTTTATTAGGTACACCTGTCCAACTGCTCGTTAACACTTAATTTCTAAGCAGCCAATCACATGGCGGCAACTCAGTGCATTTAGGCATGTAGACATGGTCAAGACAATCTCCTGCAGTTCAAACCGAGCATCAGTATGGGGAAGAAAGGTGATTTGAGTGACTTTGAACGTGGCATGATTGTTGGTGCCAGAAGGGCTGGTCTGAGTATTTCAGAAACTGCTAATCTACTGGGATTTTCACGCACAACCATCTCTAGGGTTTACAGAGAATGGTCCGAAAAAGAAAAAACATCCAGTGAGCGGCAGTTCTGTGGGCGGAAATGCCTTGTTGATGCCAGAGGTCAGAGGAGAATGGCCAGACTGGTTCGAGCTGATAGAAGGGCAACAGTGACTGAAATAACCACTCGTTACAACCGAGGTATGCAGCAAAGCATTTGTGAAGCCACAACACGCACAACCTTGAGGCGGATGGGCTACAACAGCAGAAGACTCCACCGGGTACCACTCATCTCCACTACAAATAGGAAAAAGAGGCTACAATTTGCAAGAGCTCACCAAAATTGAACAGTTGAAGACTGGAAAAATGTTGCCTGGTCTGATGAGTCTCGATTTCTGTTGAGACATTCAGATGTTAGAGTCAGAATTTGGCGTAAACAGAATGAGAACATGGAACCATCATGCCTTGTTACCACTGTGCAGGCTGGTGGTGGTGGTGTAATGGTGTGGGGGATGTTTTCCTGGCACACTTTAGGCCCCTTAGTGCCAATTGGGCATCGTTTAAATGCCACGGCCTACCTGAGCATTGTTTCTGACCATGTCCATCCCTTTATGGCCACCATGTACCCATCCTCTGATGGCTACTTCCACCATGTCACAAAGCTCGAATCATTTCAAATTGGTTTCTTGAACATGACAATGAGTTCACTGTACTAAAATGGCCTCCACAGTCACCAGATCTCAACCCAATAGAGCATCTTTGGGATGTGGTGGAACGGGAGATTCGCATCATGGATGTGCAGCCGACAAATCTGCGGCAACTGTGTGATGCCATCATGTCAATATGGACCAAACTCCCTGAGGAATGCTTCCAGCACCTTGTTGAATCTATGCCACGAAGAATTGAGGCAGTTCTGAAGGCAAAAGGGGGTCCAACCCGTTACTAGCATGGGGTACCTAATAAAGTGGCCGGTGAGTGTGTATATATATATATATATATATATATATATAGTATAAGTCCCATTTACACAGCAAAAAATAATATATAAAAATATTTACTTTCTGTTAAGGTCGCATCATATGGTTTTCTGCCAACTATTAGATAATACTATTACAAAAAATATACCTGAAGAGAAACATAAACCTATGGCTGTCAATAGAATTAAAAATAATTGTGATTTAATCTCATAATTTCTAATCTCTCCTGAGCAGAATTAACCTATTTTTTTTTTTTTCTTTTTTTTTTTTTTTACTTGATAAGATAAATTGTTCTGGCTCTACTTTCTGATTTGACAAGCCACATTTAAAATCTTTGAAAAATTAAAGCCATTAAACTCCGCGTCTTTCCAACGCAAGTAAATTTGTTCATACTGAACGCGAAACTGCTGCGTGACATGATACATTCACAACCAATAAGAATGATCTTTATCTAAACAATTATAATATTTCCCCCCCCCCCAAAAAATATTATTGTTTTTCCAGTGAAAATCCACAAATAATATTCTAATAATAAAATCCCTAAATTAATTAATATTGATTTTTTTGGCCTGTCCCCAGCTCTATTTCTCTAACTTCTTGTTGTTGTTTTAGCAAATATGAACATAAATCTGGTATTGTCTAAAGGGATATGAGACATTTACAAGCAAAATTGAATTTGTTCGAATACAAATAAGTACACTAGGTTTTTTAATATTTCTGATTAAAACTGTATTTATTTAATATTATTAAATTAATTAATTTTTATTAAATACCAATAACAACCAGAAAAAGAACATATGTTCTGCATAATGCGGGACTTTTAATTATCAACAATCACACCGAAATACACCAGGACTCTTATTTTGAAATGTCTTTACTTCCAGTTGCTCGTTCATACAGATGAGAGAGATAAAATATGCCCTCCTACGACCATCTGAAACATATTACAATATAAACACCATAAAGTAAACATTGTCAATAATTCACCAACAGTAGATCATAAGCAATTGGTGGGCATTGCTGCAACAGCGCTCATTTACTCATTTAATTAGTGGGAGTGTTCGTTTTTGAAATGTGTTTTTTTATTGTGACATTGTAAAGCACATCGGTCAACTTGTGTTGTTTTAATTGTGCTATATAAATAAAGTTGCTATTACTATAGTGACAATTACCTTTAAAAATGTTGTGTATAAAAACTGAATATGTAGTAAGCCTTCAAATATCAAGACAACAGTGATGCAATAGTGTGTATATTTATTTTGTATACTGTATCACTGTATATTTTATTCTACATTATTATTATTATATTTGTCCTGTTATTGTTTAGGAAAGCATAAAGTGGTGCGAGATGAGTCCAGCAAGCCATATACGGCTGCCAGGTGACCATCCAGTCGGAGCAGGAGAGGCAGATGATGAAGATTTACAGGAAGGAGGAGAAGAAGGAGAGGAAGCGAGAGAAACGAGGGGATGAAGGGGAGTCCTGTGAGAGTGCTTTCCACTTCGACCCCCGTGGAGCTGAGGCTGCAGAGGCGAGTCACCCGCAAATGCACATTCAAAATCGCTTTATTGGCATGACTGTGAATCATACAATATTGCCAAAGCTTGGAATACATAGAAAAATAATAATAAAAAAATCTAAAAATCAAAATAATAGAGGAGATATTACAACTTAACTTAAATTTAAATAAACAGTGTAACAAATTAGAAATGTGTGAACATTTGATACCATAGTGTTTTAACACACACACACACACACACACACACACACACACAACACACACACTACTGAGGGTCACTGTGGTGGACAGTAGGGAAACACACACGCCTCTCTCTCTCTCAATTCAATTCAAAATTGCTTTATTGGCATGACTGTACACATCATACAATATTGCCAAAGCTTGGAATACATAGAATAATTAGAAAGACATTAAAATAGTAAAATATTATAACATCTAAATGTACAAATTAAATTAATTGTACAAATTAACAGTGTTAAATAAAAAAAAATAAAAGAAATAAAATAAAATAAAACAGTTTATGACATTTAAAAATTCTGTGAAGAATTTAGAATTCAGTGTGTAAGTGTTTTCGTGTTTGGTGTACGTGTGTGTGTGTGTGTGTGTGTGTGTGGGCGCATCACTGATTAGTCGTCGACTCTCTCTTTTGTGGCAAGCATCAATGTATCTGGCTGCTAGTGTGATGCAATCTCTTTTTTCACCTAACAGGTGTTGAAATTTTGTTTCGTTGTTTAATTGTATGAAGTTAGGGCAAAGTATTTCAAATTTTGTATAAAAAGTCCCTCTAGTCTCTCTCTCCCCCTCTCTATCACTTTCTCTCTCTCTCTCTCTCTCTATCACTTTCTCTCTCTCTCTCTCTCTCTCTCTCTCTCTCTCTCTCTCTCCTCTCTCTCTCTCTCCTCTCTCTCTCTCTCTCTCTCTCTCTCTCTCTCTCTCTCTCTCTCTCTCTCTCTCTCAATTCAATTCAATTTTTCAATTCAAATTGCTTTATTGGCATGACTGTATATATGACAATATTGCCAAAGCTTCGAATACATAGGAAAATTATAAAGACATCAACATACTTGAATATTATAACATAAATTAAATTTAAATGTACAAATTAAATTAATTGTACAAGTGAACAGTGTAACAGATTAGAATATCTGTGAACATTTTGATACCACAGTGTTTTAACATACATAAACACACACACATTACTGAAGTCACTGTGGTGGGCAGTAGGGAAACACCCCTGAGGTCACACACACACACACACACATACACACACACACACACACACACACACACACACACACACACAGCACACACACACACACACACATTCACCTGCTGTCTCTCAGGCTGTGGCACACATACACGTATCTGGCAGCCAGTGTTGCGGTCTGTCCTTCTCCTAGTAGGATCTTTATCTGTTCTACTTCAGTCATGGCTGTAAAGCCCTGTATTAAGTTATTAATTTTATTGAAGTAGAGGTCTCTGACTGAGCTGTATCTGTGACAGTGAAGGAGGAAGTGTGTCTCTGTCTCGACCTCTCCTGTCCTACACTGAACACACACCCTTTGCTCTCGGGGTAACCAGCTCTTTCTGTGTCTGCCGGTCTCGATGGCTAGACTGTGTTCACTCAGCCTGTACTTGCTCAGGATCACACACACACACACACACACACACACACACACACACACACACACACACACACACACCACACACACACACACACACACACACACACACACACACACACACACACTCAGCCTGTACTTGCTCAGGATCTGTCTCTGCTTTGTGTCTCTCACACTCTGGAGATATTCTTCCATTTCATAATTTGATTTCAGATTTCGATAGAATTGTAATTTACTTTGTGTTTTGGTTTCCTGATCCCAATGTTCCAGATATGTATTTTTAGACTGTTTGATAATTTGGTTTATTCTGATGTGTGTGTGAGGAGCAGAGCTGGTCTGAGACTGGTTAGTGTTAGTAGGGTTAGTCGGGTTAGTGAGTCTCAGGACCAGCTGACGGAGGAGACTCTTTTCGGGGTTCAGTTCTTGGGTTTGTAATGCTTTAAAATGTAGCGATTCTGTGGGACTTGATTTTAGATGCATCCAGAATTTGAGGGATCTTTTTTGTATATCAATCATCGATGGGAATCGGCCTAATTCTGCCCTACATGCATTATTGGGTGTTTTTCTTTGTAGTTTTAGTATCATCTTGCAGAATTCTGTGTGTAGGGCTTCTGTTGGATGTCTGTCCCATCTAGTGTAGCTCTGATCACTGAGTGGACCCCAAACCTCACTTCCATACAGCGCAATGGGCTGGATTACACTATCAAAGATTTTACACCAGATTGGAATCGGTAATTCAGTGTTTTGGAATTTCTTCTTAATTGCATATAGAGCTCTTCGAGCTTTATCTTTAAGGAGCATTCACTGCCATACTGAAACTCCCCGATGCAGTGATGACCAGGCCGAGGTAAGTGTACTGCATCGTGTGCTCGAGGCCGGTGCTGCCTAGACTGAACTGGTATCTGTGTTCCTGACATCTGGGCTTCTTCTGAAAGACCATAATGTTGGTCTTTGTGAGGTTGACTGCCAGGGCCCAGTTCTGGCAGTAGTTGTGCAGCAGGTCCAGGTGCTGCTGTAGTCCCTGTGCAGTGGGTGACAGCAGCACCAGGTCGTCTGCGTACAGCAAGAGCTTGATGCTCCTGTCCTGTAGAGTGAGTCCAGGGCCTGTAGACTGCTCCAGCTGCACCGCTAGCTCATTAATGTAGATGTTGAACAGCGTTGGACTCAGGCTACAGCCCTGCACCTGGTGAACACACACACACACACACACACACACACACACACACAGGGACTGGACTCAGGCTACAGCCCTGCCGCACTCCTCTTTTCTGGGTGAAGAATTCTGTATGTTTGTTGCCAATTCGTATTGCACATTTGTTGTTCGAATACATTGATTTTATAATGTCATAGACTTTACCCCCTACACCACTTTGTAAAAGTTTATAATATAATCCGTTGTGCCAAATAGAATCAAATGCTTTTTTGAAATCGACAAAGCATGCAAATATTTTTCCATTTTTGGTCTGTTTTACGTGTTTATCGATTAGGGTGTGTAGGGTGTAAATGTGGTCGGTAGTTCTGTGATTTGGAACGAAGCCAATCTGACTCGAGCTCAGGACATTGTGTTCGTTAAGGAAGCTTACAATTCTATTGTTTAAAATACTGCTAAATAACTTCCCCAGATTACTGCTCACACAAATGCCTCTGAAATTATTAGGGTCCAATTTATTTCCACTCTTATGGATTGGGGTAATGAGTCCTTGGCTCCAGATGTCAGGAAAACAGCCTGAACTGAGTACGGTGTTGAACAGTTTGAGCAGCGCCGCCTGCAGCTCCGGTGTGTGTGTTTCAGCATCTCTCCTAGAATGCTGTCAGGACCACAAGATTTATTACCTTTTTGGCTTTTGAGTTTGTTTGCCAATTCTTCATGTGTAATTGGGAAGTCAAGTGGATTTTGATTATTTTTAATTGTCTCTTCATAAGTTTGTAGATTTTGTTTGGTCAGATTATAATTATCATTGAGTTGGTTTGATGGGATTTCTTTATATAAGTTTTCAAAATGATTTGTCCAAATTTCTCCGTCTTGTATAGGTAGGTCTTGTGGTTTTGCCGTGCTCAGATTATTCCACATATCCCAGAACTGATTATGAATTTATTGAATTTTCTAATTCTTGTATACTTTTGGTCAGATGGTGTTGCTTCTTTGCTCTAATTTTGTCTTTATATATTTTTAGTTTTGAAAAGTATTCAGTTCTTATGTCAGTGTTGTTTGGTTCTTTATGTTTCAGATTTGATAATTTTCTAAGTTGTTTTCTTAATGTTTTGCAGTCTGAGTCAAACCATTTTGCATCTTTTGGAGTATTTTTTGTGTATTTTTTGCCTTTCTTTTTCAATTCACTTTTCTGTGCTGCTTTTTTAAATATGTTATTGATTTCATTTGTAGCCGAATTAACACCATCTTTAGTTGTTTCGAATTTCTTATTAATAAATGTATTTATTAGATTTTTTATTTCTTCAGAACTGAGGGCTTGGACAAACTTGTCTGCGCTGTCCGTAGCCCATCTGTATCTCTGCTGGACCTGATACATTCGGCAGGTTTCCAGTCGGTTTTGTTCTGGTGTGTGATGTGTTTTGATATAGATGTTAGTTTGGTTATGGTCAGAAAGCGGAGTTTGCTGTTTGACAGTGAATGCATTGAAGGAGGATGGGTCCATGTCAGTGATGGCATAGTCAACTACACTAGCTCCAAGACCTGAACAACACGTGAACCTCCCTAAAGAGTCCCCTCGGATCCGGCCGTTCAGGATGTACAGGCCTGAGGCTCGGCAGAGCTGCACTAACTCTCTACCGGTTTTATTTACTGTCTGGTCAAGGTTGTTTCTCGGTGGAAGTTTTCTTGTGATACTTGGGGGGTTTGGGCCAAAGACATATTCATTACCCTTTGGATCTATGTCATCGGGTTCAGATCCAGTTCTTGCATTAAAGTCTCCACACAGCAGCACATTCCCCTGGGCCTGGAAATGGCTGATTTCTGTGTGGATGTTGTTGAGGTATTCCTCCTCATGGTAAGGGGATTCCGCTGGGGGAATGTAGATGGCACAGAGATATGTGTCTCTAATAGAAATGCCAATTTGGTTTATTTTTAACCAGCAATGAAATTTTCCAACTGAGATAGTTGAAATGTGTTTGGCCAGATGCTCCCTGTACCACACTAGAATTCCTCCCGAGTCTCGTCCACGGTGGACTGTACTTATTTTGACTGAGGGCACAATCACTTCATAGTAGCCTGAGGGACAGTAGGTGAGCGCATCATTTCGACACCAGGTTTCAGTGAGGATTATGATGTCAACATCTTCGATATGTTTTAGAAATTCTGGGTCTGTACTTTTAGAACCAAACG